ATGATCAGAGCTGATCATCAGGCCCCCTTACCTCTGAGCAGAGAAGTGACTCTCTCTGTGTCCTGAAAGTGTAGAGAAGTGATGAGAATCTGGTCTTAGTTTCAGCAGGCTCAGTGTAAGTGTCAGTCTGGCCTTTTTCAATACTATTTTTCTTTCAATGATAGAGAGTTGCTATGAGTATAGAAGTGACTAGAGTCTACCATGTCAAAAATATTCAAAAGATAATAATGTTTTTTCATTCATACATTCTAAAACCAAAATTTTTCTTACTTTTATTCTCCTCCCAAGTAAGTTTCTTACTCTAACAATGAACCCTAACCTGAACTGAAAATGCACTAACCTCATTCATGTAACATTATTTTATGTATTCAGCTGTTACTAGCAACAGTGGTTATTATGGTATACAGTACATGAATTATGCATTCTAATCTTTACAACAAACACTGAAGCCTCAAGGTCTCTATCATCTTGATTTTGGTACTTTTTCTCCTTCAGCTTATGGTTTTCTGTAGCAAGGATTAGCAATCTACAATACTAGACTAAATTATCAATAGAGAAATATAATAAAAGTATGCAAAAGAGGTAAACTTCTGACATGTTTTGACTCTGTGGCTTAGCACAATAACCTCAACTTGTAATAAAACCATTATGTTTAATGAAAGAAGTTGAAAATACAGTTGGCCCGGGATCATTTGTGTATATATACAGTCTTGAAATCAGAGATGACTGGAGATACAAATGAATCTCTCACCAGTTTTTCCATGAATTGGACCACCCTGAAATGACGAGCTATTACATATTCTTTAGTCTTAGTTACAGGTTGTTATGGACTGCAGATATGTTTTGTCTGCACCACACTAGCACAACATAAGCCAAGGGCAGCTGCAAGTGCCAGATCAGGTAGACACAGATCAAAAGAAGTAGTTGAGTTCTTAAGGTGATCAAATAAAAGAACAGAACAGGAAGTAAATTGAAGGAAAATATCAAGGTTTTTAAGGATGAGAAAAAAGTTACATGGAACCAGAAGAGACCCAAAATAGCCAAAAAATCCTGAGCAGCCAAAGCAAAACAGATGGTGTTACAATTTCAGACTTCAAGTTTTACTATAAAGCTATCATAATAAGAACAGCATGCCACTGTCCTAAAAGATGTATTGAACAATGGAATAGAATACAGTATACACACAGCCTCAAGCACCTTGAACCATCTAATTTCTGACAGACAAACCATTGGCTCCACATACACTGGAGAAAAGATACTCTTTATAACAAATACTGCTGAAAAAAATTGGCTAGTGATACACATTAGAATGTCTATAGATGCAAATCTCTCACACTGTACTAAAATCAAACCAAAATGAATAAAGGCTAGATATAAAAACAAAAACATTGAATCTGCCTGATGAAAAAATAGTAACACTTTTAAAGATATATATACAAAGTATATATACAAGTATTTTGTGAACCAAACTCCAGTTACACAAGATGTAGTACCAAGAATCAACAAGCAAGATTTATTCTAATTTGTATCTAGATGTCCCTCCAAAGTCTCATGTTCTTGTAGGGGCTTTGGGAGATGATTGAATTATGACAGTGTGCTAGTCCACTGATGATTTATAGCTGCCTGTTAGGAGGTAAGATATGGTTGAAAGAAGTGATTCACTGGGTGACCTGGAAGGTTTTGTCTTTCATTCTCCCTTCTCTCTCTGCTCTCTGCAGTATGCCAGAGCCACCACTTTTCTGCCATGCTCCTCTGTCTTATAAGCCTGCCTTTGGGCTGGCCAACTATTGACTGAAACTTCTTTAAACTTGAGGCAAAACAAACCCTTCTTCTTTTAGATTGTGACCACTAGGTATTGTGTCTCAGTTAAAAAGGAAGTAACTAAGACAAGTTTGTATCAAAAGAAAATGCTTCTGCACAGCAAAGGAAACCATCAATAGAGGGAAGAACCAATCTTCAGAATGGGAAAAAACTCCTTGGACAGAAGAATGTAAGTATCTATGGTGTATAAATATCTATAGTATATAAATAAGTCAAAAAGATAGACGCAAAGAAATAAAAGACCAACCCAATAAAAAAAAATTGACACTTCTCACAAGAAGTACAAATGGCCAATAAGTACATGAAAAAATGTTTAAAATCTTTGGTTGTTAGAAGTGTAGATCAAAACAACCCCAATGTTGCATCTTACTTCAGTAAGAATGAATTATTATCAGGGCTGGGGATTTAGCTCAGCGGCATAAGCACCTGCCTTGCAAGCAGGCGGTTGTGAGTTCGATCCCTGGTACTGATTTTAAAAAATGAATTATTATCAATAACTCAAAAACAACAACTTTGCATTGTTGGTGGAAATGTAAACTAGCACAACTACTTTGGAAATTAGTATAGAGATTCCTCAAAAAAAAATGAAAGTAGAAATTCTATTTAACCCAGATGTCCCTCTTCTAGATATCTTCCCAAGTGTTAATCATTTTACAGTGATACATGCATACCATGTCTACATCAGCACAATTTGTAATAGCTAAGCTATGGAGGTGGCCTAAATGGCCATCAATGTATGAATCAATAAAGAAAATGTGGTCTATATACAAAATGAAGTTCTGCTCAGCCATAAAGAAAGATAACCTGAGATCCTTGTAGGAAAATGAATGGATTTTGAGACCATATTATTGTGAACTAAACCAAATGCAAAGATTAAATATTAAATGATTTCTCATATATGAGAAAGCCAAAATATAAATAATTGAAAGAACAAAATGAATGAAATGGCAGGAAACAGGGAGACAAACCCTGTAGAAATGGTAAAGGGACCTGGAGAGAGGGGAGAGGGAAGGGTTAGGAGAAAGAGAAGTAAAATGATCAGGATGCAGTTCATAAATGTACCGATTTCCCAACATGAACCTAATAATACATTTCTAATTAATAGGGGAACATAACAGAGTGTCAAAACCCAGGAGGAAAATGCATGTGAAAGAGGCAAGGGCCAAGCCAAGAACTTTTTGATAAATTTGTGGATTACAGCGCTTGGGTTTTATGTGGTAGTTCTGAGTAATTTTTGCCTGTTGTTAACTGGCTGACCTTGACTCAATTACTCATTTATTTTTTCTGAGTTTCATCTCATTCTCATTTGAGAGTTCTAAAAATTACAAATGGACACATTTAGAACTTGGCAAGATATGTAAGATCTATTCCTCGGAGTTTTACTTTTCTGTAATGATGAATTGTAAGCCAGGCGTTGGTGCTGTACAGTCAGCCTGAGCCACATAGAGAGACTCTGTCTCAAAAGTTTTTTTTTTTTTTAAAGATGCATTGTTTATGTTTGCTTGCCTGGTTGTATACATACACTAGCAAGTTTAATTTAAAAATTAGGTATAGACAAACAGGACTTCCTTGCCTCATGTCATGAATTTCTCCCAGGTATGATGTTTTAATGCAGGGTAAGATTATACACCAACATCACTCTAGTGAAGCATATGGTTTGTTGCTCAGCCAATTATTATCATGCTCATAGCTTTTATTACTATATGATAAGATCTATCAATAGGATATGCCAACACTAATATTAGTGCCCAAGGTCATTGTCATGGATTTTTACAGCCAACATGCTTAGTTAAAGATATTGGAGCAAAATTAAGAGTTGCTCTCTAAGACAAAACATGTATGACCCTTGGAGTAAAGTTATGTACACAACAGTTTCATGGATGAAATATATTATCTAAAGAAACTGTACACTTGCTCAAGTGCAGCTGACTTTGTCTGAATTTATCAGCCCCTTTCCTTCTGATTTCCAAGTTGACATCCCATCCACTCTAACCATGCTCTGGAGCCAACTTTCTGGCTATGTTAAGCCACAAATTAACTTGGCTGTTTCACTGCATATCCAAGCTTCTTCCAGACCCTGACTTGGAAGCTGCAGAGCTTCCTGGTTCCTGGATTGACATCCTAACCATCTAGTCTAACTCAAATGGAGTGAAAATGATGGATGACACTGGAAAGATTATCCCTCCACATTCATTAAGTTGATAGTCCACTATTCTGAGATTTCATACTCCAGATATGGTAGAGTTAATTCTTCTTTACTGAAAATAATATACTGCTATACTACAAAAATTTCAGAGACCTTTGTAGTGGTAATTAATTTGACAAAACATTTATTGAAAATGCTTAGTCTTGCTGTGTGAAAAGGACTTACTTGGATGATTGGAAGGTAAGACTTTGAATTCCTACTCTACTACAAATCTATCTCTTCCTTTGTAAGAGGAGAAAATAAGGCAAAAATAATTTTCAAAAGCAAAGAAGAGGAGGAAGGCAGGAGGAATATTTTGGCCTCCATATAAAATTTAATTTATTTCATTTAACAAAGTTTTATGGAGAAGTCAGTGTAACTCTCTGCTTTATTCTGAAACAGCAGATGAGTGAACGCCAAGGGTTTTCTCCCTTGTATCTCCCCCCTCCGCAGTCTTCCCATCTATGCCCACCCTCTTCTCACAATATTCCTACCCCAGAGTCAGTAATTTCAGCTGAAAATCAGTAATACCTCCTGTACACAAGGACTAAAGAAGTGAAATAGCTGTCATTATATATTCTTACAAAGAAATTTCCATATATGGACCAAGTTTATTTCTTTCCATTGTCCTACCTCTACCTTGCCTACCTGTATTTGCATCTCAAATATAATATTCATAAAGAATATTGCACAGGTTTTCCATGTCTAGAAATTTACTATTTTGCCAGATTTGTCAGCAATTACCCATAAAATATACAAACATGAATTTTCCAACCAGTTTGTTTTCCTCTTTATAAACACAAAAACCACTTCCTGCAGAGTAGCATTCTTTCCAGTAATCACTGCCTGCAGGCTATGTCATCTTTACACTGTGTTTACACGCATATTCTTGCTGTCGTTCATATTTTTAAAAAGAAATCAACATGAATCATGCTGTCGATGACCTAAACATTCTCTCTCTATAAAAGAGTGGCCACTAGAAGGCAGGAATAAAGTTAGTGGTTAGGAGAGGGGTTTTCTTAAGGCAAAGACTGTTAGGATGAAGCACTTTGCCATCTTCATGCTGCTGTGTCTGCCAGTCTGCTCAGCTTACCCTCTGAACGGAGCAGCCAAGGGAGAAGATCCCAACGTGGATTTCGCCCAGGTAATTAATGCCCTTTGAAGCCACTGGCTAACCCATGAAGAGAACAAGTATGTAAGTTTGCTCTTCCAGTACCAAGCAGAATGATTTGATTAGAAATTATTTTGTTGGAATTATTTGGCATCAGAGAATATCAATGTGCTGAAGGTGAAAATTCCTTTCATCTGAACAGAAAAGGAAAAAAAGGCCCAGGAAGTTGAAATAGTTACTCAAGGTTAGACTAAAAAGAGTAGCAACTGCTTTGAAGCTAAGTAAAAATAATAAATGGGGACTAAATGAAACTTACCCTGCTTTAGAATTACTTTGGTTAAAATAACCAAAGGGAAACATGGTAATTTTGATCTTTATATAAATGAATAATTTTTATTTTATTATTTGTGTGTGTATTCAAAATAACTGATCTCACTTTAGTCATGAACCAGATCTAAATTAACGATGTAAAGTAGGCAAAGTTAGACATATTCATCCAATGAATTTATACAATTCTGCCAATTTTCTTTACCTGGCTAACAAATTAAACTGCAGTGAAATAATAAAGCATTTTAATAAAAAAACAAATTAATTATGGCACCTACTTTTGTTGCAATAAGAGAGAGAATAATTAAAATTGATTTTAAAGTTGTGATGATAAGAATTACTAATATAACTTATTATTCCATTAGCAATACCTAAAAAACTACTACAACCTTGGAAAAGACGAAAAACAAGTCTATAGAAGGAAAGACAATGATCCTGTTGTCAAAAAAATCCAAGAAATGCAGAAATTCCTTGGGTTGGAGGTGACGGGGAAGCTGGATTCTAACACTTTGGAGGTGATACGCAAGTCCAGATGTGGACTCCCAGATGTGGGTCAGTTCAACACCTTTCCCGGCATGCCAAAGTGGAGGAAAAATGACCTTACTTACAGGTAATGGGTCCAAAGAGGTTTCCACACAATACTGAAATTTTATAAGCTCTGTCCCAGGAAGAACATTACCTTCTTCATTTTTTTGCACACAGGATTGTAAATTACACACAGGACTTGCCAAGAGATGCTGTTGATTCTTCCATCAAGAAAGCTCTGAAGATCTGGGAGGAGGTGACCCCACTCACATTCTCCAGAATATATGAAGGAGAGGCTGACATAATGATCTCTTTTGCAGTCAGAGGTAATGAAATAACATATCCATTTATCAAATGTTCTTGTCAGCTCAGGTTATTAAAACAAAATACCTTACACTGGTTAATTTGTGAACAACAGAAATGATAGTTTTCATAGTTCTGAGACTGAGAAGTCAAAGGTCCTGGGGTCAGAAAATCTTTGTTAATGTGGTGCATTCTTCATCGTGGTGCATTCGGTGTCCTCATGTGGCAGAAGGGTCCAGAGGTTCCCTCAGCCTCTTATATAAGGATATTGCTCTCATCCATGGGGACATCATGGAAATAATAACAATACGCAGGTTCTACCTTTTAATACTAACTTTCAACATACAGACTTTGAGAAAGTGTTAACGTTCAGACAATAGCGTCTGATGCTGTGTGACTGGAAAAGGATAAAAAGAAATTCTGAACATTTATGCTACCATTGATTTTCTCCCCAGAACATGGAGATTTTTATCCTTTTGATGGACCAGGAATGAGTTTGGCTCATGCTTATCCACCTGGGCCTGGGTTTTATGGAGATGTTCACTTTGATGATGATGAGAAATGGACAGAGGATGCATCAGGTAGGTTTCAAGCTTCTAAAGATGGTTTCAGAAAAAATGGCTAGCTACCCAAGAATGATTTCATTATACTGAAGAACAGGTAAGGAAATATTCTAATAATTGAAATGTCTGCCAGGCATGGTGGTGAACTCCTGTAATCCCAGCACTTGCGAGGCTGAGGCAGGCGGATCACTGCAGGTTTGAGATCAGCCTGGGCTACAAAGTGAGCCCAAGGTCAGCCTGAAGGGCACAGTGAGACCCTGTTTCAAAAAGACAAAAAAAAAAAATTGAAATTTCTGACTGACTGAGTGGTAACCAGTACTCTTCATTTAATCATTGTTGGAGAACTTTTAAAATGCGTGCAATTTCTCTTTGCCCCACCAGGAGTAATGTAAGTATCATTCAGTCTTCTTTTCACAACTCAGGATCTTGTGAGGGTTTAAGACTAATACAGTTAATAATGTTTCGGTATCACTTTAATTATAAATGATTTATGTAGGATAACTTACACTGAATCAGTTCGGAACCTAACACGTGCCCTCCTTCTTCCCCATTTGCCTCTTTTTCTCTTAAAAGCAAATATCAAGAGAAAAATGCCAGGAAACAAAGAACACTTCTAGGTCACCTGTTTGAATATGCACATCACTATCATCGCTAGCTCAGGAGCATTATTTCCCCCAAGTTGGTTCTGAAAAACTCAGCACTTACTAAGACACAGTGGCTCAAATTAACTGCATGCTATTTTTATTCATGTGAAGACTGGAAACAGACTGTTGAAATAATCACTTTTTCCAAGACTAGTTGGGATCAGTGATACAAATAAAAGAACATCTCCACTGATCTAAACCTGAAGTTATGCTGCACAAACTTTATTTTTGTCTCATAATTACTTGGAGCATTGGCTAAATACTAGAGATAAAACTGTAAGATAAAGAAAAACTGAATGCAGCTGTGGTTGTGCTGCAGAAAATTGTGGTTGGGTATGTTTCTGTTTTAAACTAAACATTGTTCATACCCCATGGTACTTATTACCAGGAAGCTTTTTGATAACCAAAAATTGGTTGATTATGGCAAAAAAGAAGAACAAATCAGGCTAAATGCCCAAGAGAAACAACCATCATTTTATTGCTTAAGATTTTAGGAAATACATAAATATTTGCCAATTAATTTCAACTGAGGTTGAAACTAACAGATAATAGGAAATACGAACATAACAACCTTCTTTTTAGACACTAAAGAGTTATATTTATTGATATGTTATTAATCTTGGTCTTTCCAAACAATTACCCTTTGGAAAACAAGTTCATCAGTGCAAATATACAGGAAAAGTAACCTAGGAGACAATCAGGGAGAGGCACAGTGAAAACTTGATGTACTGGCTTCAAGTCAACTTTGAAAAACACATGAGTTTTAATCAGCTATGGAATCTGCCAATCAATGAACCAAATGTCAAAGTAAGGGAAATGTAATGTGTGATTCAAAAGATGACTTCTATATCTGGCATGTGTTTTACGTGCATATATTCAAAATACATGGCTGTTAAGACTTTCAACATCTATGGTTTCTTAAATAGGGACCAATTTATTCCTGGTTGCTGCTCATGAACTTGGCCACTCCTTGGGTCTCTTCCACTCGACTGACCCTAAGGCTTTGATGTACCCCCTCTACAACTCCTTCACAGACCTGGCTCGGTTTCGCCTTTCTCAAGATGATGTGAATGGCATTCAATTCCTCTATGGTGAGTGATGCTGGAAAAATTAGACATTGTATCTTTGCAGTGGCGCTACAATTATATTTGCGATATAATTCAAACCCCCTTGAGATTTGGAAACCATATATGCATCACATTTTTCCTAATGACTTATCTTCCCTAATCTGTTGCCGTTAGGTCCTCCTCCTGCCTCTCCTGCTGACCCTAAGGTGCCCACTGAAGCTAGCCCACTAGAGTCTGGGACACCACCAGCCTCATGTGATCCTGCTTTGTCTTTCGATGCAGTCAGCACCCTGAGGGGAGAAATCCTGTTCTTCAAAGGCAGGTCAGGCTGGAAACTTATATTTTCCTATCTATTCTTGTGATGTACAATGCTTAGAAAAGGAAAACACAGTGAAACTTGAATGAAGTATTTCCTTTACATTTTAGAATCATATCATTTTGATCTGATTCTGTGTGTGTGTGTATGTGTGTGTGTTTGTGTGTGTTTGTGTGATGTGTGTGTGCTTACTAGGGATTGAACCCAGAACCTTCACACTCAACTACATTCCCAGACATTTTGAAAAATTTTTAATTTTAAGAGACAGTGTCACTAGTTTGTGAAGATGCCCGGAATGGGCTTGAACTTTTAATCTTCCTGTCTTAGCCTCCCAGAATGGTGGGATTAGGGGTCTCCACCCCAGTTCCTGGCTGTAATCTATTTATTACTTCACTTTTAACATCTCTTTAAAATATTTCTTAAAGACTTTCAAAGAATGATTCTTGCTCACTAGAACATAGATTCTATGAAGATGTGGTTTATCTGCTTTGTTTACTTTTTAAATATAGTAAATCGGGCCTGGGAGTGTAGCTCAGCAGTGCAGCACCTGCCTGGCAAGTGTCAGGCCCTGAGTTCAATTACTGATACCCATAAAAGAAAAGAAGCAACAACAACAAAAAAGAAACTAGATTTAAATGGCATAAATCATACACCTTCTCCAAAAAGTACCATAAATCTTTAGAAGGAAAGGAGTATCTTGATCTCTCTTCTAGAAAGTCACTATTTTAATGAATTAATTTCAGAAAAAAATGATACATCCCTGGGCACAATATTCGAATAGTAACAAAGACAGAGTTATGAGAGAAACCTTCCCCCTCTGACCACCGTAACCCGTTGCTTCCTTGCAGCCACAGTTAGCAGTTTCCTCTGTGTCTCTATTCTCGTGCAAGCATAAAGAGGCACCCAAAGTAAACATTTTGAAGAATTATTTATTGACACATAATATACACAGTTTCATAGACTTCCAGAATGAGACTAAGCTAAATAATCATATTGGAGCTGACCGATATTCCTCGCATAGATTTTGTTACCCTGGAATCACAAATGGGACAACCCAGCACTGATTTTCTGAAAAGGATAAATTAACATTGGTTGAAAGAAAAGAAGACTATGGACCTTGCTTCATGTATTAATGTTTCTCTGCTTATTATTTAAATGAGGAAAACAATTGAAAACAATTTTTATGAATTCCAGATACCTGTGGCGTAAACTCCAATGGAAATCAAAACCTGAACTTCACTTGATTTCCGCATTTTGGCCCTTTCTTCCATCAGACTTAGATGCTGCCTACGAAGTTAAGAGCATGGACACAGTTTTCATTTTTAAAGGTAAGTACTATTCACAATTTTCAAATTATTGAAATAAGTCCTATTGCAAAATTTCATTGAACATTTTCTTCCAAATTGGGAAGGATCTAGGAAAGCAGAAAGGAAGGAAGAGAAAAGAAAACAGAAAAGAAGGAAAAAATGAAAACAAAGCTTTTGTAAATAAGGAGGGCAAGAGAGGTTGAAAGGAAGGTAGGGGAATGGGAGAAAAAAGAATCAAGATACATCATGTGCATGTGCAAATTCCCTATAACAAATATGATCATTATTTATACTTAAATTGTACCAATAAACTTAATTAATTTTTAAAATTGCATTAGTGAGAGTTTTCTATAAGTTTTAAATGGTTCGTCATTGCAAAAACCTAGTGTTAATGCTCAAGTAAACTTTGCACAAAAACATAAGTGCTATTTTAAAAAATTTGATGCAGACTGAAGTAAATAAACACTTAAATCCCAATATGTAGAGGCAAGGGGAAAACGTTGAGAATAAAAACAAAACAAAAATAACACTTTAAAATTTGTGGAGTGAAAAGGAAAGGATGGATCTTTATAAGCATAAACATTTATATTAGAAAGACAATAATAGTGATATCTTATATTCATGGATAGAAAATTTTAACATAGTGAAAAATGTCAATTTATGCACAGATATGATATTTGCAATTCAAATACCATAAGAGTTTTCATAGAACTTGACAAATTAGTTCCATAGCTTATATGGACAGGCAAAAGCCAAGAATAGCACACGTATTATTGAGGAACAGTAAAATTATGAGAACAGTTCTATGTTATAAAATTTTAATAAGTAATGTATTATTGTATCCATCCAGGGAGAGATAAATCAACTCAGGAATTATTCGGGCTTGATGGCTTCTCTGTTGGATTTTTAAATTACTGTTTCAATTTGTTCTCTTGACAATATGCTATTTGAGCTTCTATTGCTTAAGTAAGATAATGTATTTTTATAGGAATTTACTAACTTCTATGTTTCCAAATCAATTGGTAAAAAGTTTTCAGAAAATTATTTTGTTGTAGTTAGTGCTGAATTTTTTTCATTTCTCAGATAGCTTCTTTTAACTTTTCTCTAATTCTCTTTATTAATCTCAGAGGATATTTAATAGTTTTTGTAGTCTTCTTGCAGAATTAACTTTTGCCTTCTTTGATCCTCTTAGTGTGTCTTATTTCCCTTACACACGTGAAGGATGCACCCTAGTGCTGAGCTACATTCTCAGTCAATTTTAGTTTATTTTGGGACAGGGTTTCCCTAAATTTTCTAGGTTGGCCTCAGATTTGTGATCCTCCTGCCTCTGCCTCCCAGGCATCTGGTATTACAGGCATACAATACTACTCATGCTCTATTTAATTAATTTTGTCCATATTATTGCCTTCATTTTGTCTTCTCCATGTTTATTCTGTTTTATCATTTTTAAGTTTGATACTTACCTTACTGACTTGCGATCTTTTTCTTTCCTAGTAAGTATTTATGTCCATAATGGTCCCCTTTTTCCTCTTCATCCCACTAATTTTAATGTTTTTTTTATGTATTGTTTTTCAAGTTTTTTCCCTGACTCATAAGTTGTTGGGAAAATTTAAATAGCAGACTCTATGGGAACTTGAATATATTTATTTATTTATGACCCTGGCATTTCTGTGAAGATTAAATGAAATCATAAAGGGCTATGTAACTGTAACTCCTATTTATAAATGTACGCAGCAGTTTTTAAGTTCCTGCATCGTGTCGGGCACAGCACTCGCCAGTGAGCAGGGCCTCGTATTTCAGGGAGGCAGCGGAAATGAAGGTGCCGGGGCCTCGCAGGGACAGAATTGGGTCCTCATGAGGGAAGTGAGGAACACGAATGCATGAAGAACGAGCACCTGACCCTCCCCGAGGCTGAGAGGAGGCAGAGTCACAATGAGACTTGAAAGAGTAGCACTTTGTTGTATAGAGATGAGCTAAATGTGCAGTGTGGAAAGGTGTAAGAGGCAGAAGGGACTTTTTTATACAAAAGTGAATCACTTCTGGAACTGCTCAGTTAGGTGGAAGTCATTCCTGTCAGAGAGAGATGCAGCAGGTTAGCATTTCAGGTTAGGTGATCTAGCAGTAGAGCATGATAGGGATTCAGGTTGAAGTGAGGATGGCAAAATAAAGGGAGACAGACTGATAGGATTCCTTTATCCCAGTTCTCTTGAATGTGAGGGAATTACTAAAATATTCGGAAGAAGCACAGATACAATTTGGTGATTATGTTATTTACTATTAGGTATCCAAAAACCAACTAACCTGGTTCAGAAACTTAGATTAAGAAATTACCAATAATTGTAAGAAATAACTAGCAATGTTTCCTAAAAATTACAGATAACAAACGTAAGATGCAGAAAACACAGTGAAAAGAGTTACACACTCATCCACCTATTCGTTCATGCATTCACTCATTCAAGAGACATTCATTAAATACACCAGAAACTAGATATTGTGCTGGTGGTTCAGATTACAACCAAGCTTTCTCTGTAATACAACGATACCTTTCAATCATTTCTGAAATTAAATGGCTTCACTCAAAGCTTGTTGGGTTTATTCTTTTCCAATAGGAAGTCAGTTCTGGGCAGTCAGAGGAAATGATCTGCAAGCAGGTTATCCGCGAAGCATCCACACTCTGGGATTTCCTCCAACCATAAAGAAAATTGATGCAGCTGTTTCTGATAAGGAGAACAAGAAAACATACTTCTTTGTAGGGGACAAATACTGGAGGTAAGATGCAGTAGGAATGACTTTCTTTGGAGTTAATCATGTATCTTTTACAAGGATACCTGCCCACTCCACTCTCTTTCTCTAACTTCAAATATTCTGATTATGAGGAACACACCTGACAGGTGCTCAACTTTCCAGACAGAAAGACCTTTCAGAATAGTGATGTCACTGGTTCGTATATCCAAACAACAAAAGATATCAAGAGAGACCAGCAGAGGCCTAAAGCATATTTACTTTTGTCCAATGACTGGTCCCATGTGGTTACCATAGGAATCCAAGGTGTAGCAGATTGTAGAAACAAGTTCTATAAGGTTCCATCGTGATGGATAACCAGGAGTTTATTTTTAGCCAAATTACTTAATTGATCTTGCTTCTTGTATATATTCCTGGTATATTTGTGGCAAGTAGATATTTAGCTTTTATGTGTCCAGTCTTAGAAAATTGACCTCAAACACAGGTTTGGAATCTCCCAAAGAATAAAATATTGTCCCTTTTTTGGGTAGATTTATGTGATAAGCTTGTAAGTTCAGTAAAGCCATATTATAATCACAGCCCTAAAATATTTACCATCTATTTGAACAACTTGAAAATTTATCTAGGATTCCACACTAGAACATTAACATTATACCATAATGTTTGCATAGTAATATTTCTGTAAAATATTGAGCTGGATTTCTTTCCCTTGGTGCAGATTTGATGAAAAAAGACTGTCCATGGAACAAGGCTTCCCAAGATTTATAGCTGATGACTTTCCAGGAGTTGATGGAAAGGTTGATGCTGTATTGCAGATGTTTGGTAAGAGGATACCTATTTCATTGCCAGTGGGAGTACTTTGGGTACTTCGCAGTATCAAAATGAAATGAAGTATGTTGTGCACTATTTCATTTCCTTGCCCATTGTAGACAATGTTGCTATGAACATTTGCACACAAATATTTGTATAATATTTACTAAAACTTATCAAACTGTACACTTAAAATTTATAGATTTATGCTATATAAAAGATACTGCTATAAGCTGGGGATATAACTTAATGGCATAAGCACCTACTTGGCAAGCCCAAGGTCCTGAGTTCAATTCCTGGTACTGGAAAAAGAAGAAGATACTGCCTTAAAGTTGCTAAAATATTTTTAATAGGAAATGAAGAATCAAAACAATTTCAAATCATTGTCTTAAATACCTTTTACTGAAAATTCCTGAAAATTTTAACTTTTCAATTATTCAAATTAACTTTAAATTTTATTTTTCTTGAATAACTTCCAAGCCTCTATTTCATACCTACACACAAAATCAAAGGTTAGAGCTTCACACAGGACCCAGTATCCTTCAGGTCATTATGTTGGTATAAAAATACAACCAGATATGAGCCAGGTTGACTGATGACTGACTTTCATTCTACTCTGTTATTTCCTGTCCTCTCCCACAGGACTTTGTCTAAGTAGCTGTAACAGTCATCAGTTGTTTACTTTAATCACTATTAGCTACTACTATAAGGCAGTGGTGATCCTTCCAAGTGCTCAGACTAGGAAAATTTAACTCCTGCTAATGGGGAGATAGGCAGGCGAAACTTGCACTTGTCTGCTCTGAAAGAGTTCTGGAAGGAGCTGCCAGGTCTTGACACACATAATATTCATGGGGCGATGACCTGTTGCTAAAATAACCTGACCATGATATATGTGAAGCAGGAAATGAACCTTAGTGCATTTTATCATTAGTCTGATTTTTTTGGAGGGAGGTTGTCAGTTGTTTCCCAAACTGTAAGCTAGGATCTAATAGAAGATAAAATGTTGAAAATAAAGAGGAAAATTGGATTATATGGTATTTTAATACCAAAGGATTCCATCTATTTAAAGAAAATATAATCTAATGTTTCAGAACACTGAGATCAGACAGAAGAGATAGAATCCTCTCTCCGTCTTTTACCAGAAATGTTATCTTGGAAAAACCCAAAGCCTTCCTAATTTTCATCCTCATTAATGATTCCTTACACTGTTTTGCAAGTACCAATTGAATATATCGTGTGATACATTCAGCATAGTGTCTAACACAGAGAGCCATTTAATAAATGCCAGCTTGTACTAGCTCACTTTTATTCTAAGTTATGTGTTGAAAAGTTGATACACTGAAGAATGTCTCATCATTTTCCTCATCTTTGTTTACAGGGTTTTTCTATTTCTTCAGTGGATCAGCACAGTTTGAGTTTGACCCCAATGCCAGAATGGTGACACATATATTCAAAAGTAACAGCTGGTTACTGTGTGCCTGACATAAGGAAAGACAAATATGAGCATTTTAAATGAATCTAATAAATATTTCCCTAATTTATTGTGTATCAAAATGATAAGTTATTTCTGTATGTACAGTGGCCAAAGAAAATGAGTCTTGTCATATCTGTATGTGTCCCAAAGCACTGTCTGAAATACTTCACTTGTTCTGGATTACATTGCATGGAAGTGAGAAATATTCATGTAATAAGGAAGAGAATGATCTCCATAGCTGTTCTATTTATTATTTAATAAAGATTTTTATTTTTGACCTGTTCCTTGCTGTCCAGTTCATGTTTAACTCACTGTGTACTAAGTTTGTGACTGATGCCCCGCCAGTAGGTATGATCCATCTTCTTAGGTTGGCCCTCTGGCTGTCACGCACTCTCTCCTATTCTCTGTACCAGCAAGAGCTATATTTTCACCACAGAGGTACTGCAAGTCTTCCTTACACGTGTGAAGAAAAGCAGGTAAGCTGTCTTATAGGACTGGCTGTAGGCAGAGTTAAAAAGTAGCATTCTACAGCGTTGGATCCTGTGAACCTAGCATCTCATCTAGTTCACATCATAGTTTTACAAATTTGGAGGTCAGTCACCTCTTATGTTAACCCAAATATTTCTTCCATGGCACTCCTTGCTTGCCCCAAAGATCACATTTCTCATAACAGCTTCATCATTTCTTTATAATATTCTGTTATTGCCATTTTATACCTGGCAGTTCCTGGAGGATAAGAGTTTGTCTGCAGATGCTGATTATATAAGCACTTTGTAACCATTAAGTTATGTGCTTCATACCACACCTGGTACAATTCAGAAACTGTCCATTCTTTTATCTGTTCAATCAAATGCCAAGTACTGTCATAGATGCAAGATACAGAGCACTAAAGAAAACACATTTAAAATCATCATTATTTTTGTTTACTGGGGAAAAGAAATCAAACAAATGAACACAAATTAATGTGTACTTATATATGGTATTAGTATTATGAAAGAAATGGCAAAGAGATAAGAGAAAATAGTGTTGGAGAAGGGGAAATCTATTGAAATTTGGCTAGAGAAAGTTTCTCTGGGATATTAATGAAACGAGCATGTAAATCAAATTAGTGCAGGTGAGTGGGTAGGAGGAGACAGACCATTCTAAGAAAACAAAATGCAAAATTAGGATGGTGAAAAAAATCTTGAGATGTTCAAGGAGCTGAAAGAAGATGAGAACCTGCCCAGAGTATTGAAGGAATAAGATGATACTAGACAAGGAGGCAGGATAGAATCATCCAGGGTCTTCCACATGTATTCAAATGGGTACAGTCTGTTTTATTTTTGGAGTGCTGTGAATCTGTGGACGAAGTCTTAGAGAAGTGACATATTCAGAGGTCGTGAATGATTGTATAAGCTGGAGGGATTTGGAAGGAAACGATAATGAAAAATTGAAACATGTATGAAAGAGCTACTACAGCTGGTAGGAATGTGGAGTATGGACAGAGAGTTTCAGGGAAGACTGAGAGAGACGACTGGATTTAAGGTGTACTTTGACACTGTTCAGATTTAATGATATATTAGACAAAGAGTTCTAAAGAAAATGTTAAGAATAACTCCTAGATTGAACAACTTCTTAGATGGTAGTGGCTTCAAAAGAATTAGAGAAAGACCAGAAGAGAAGCAAGCTTGTGTGAGAATGTTGGGGTCCACAAATTATAAATTGAGTCAGGGGACATCCAAGGCCATCCTTGTCCTGCCCTTTGAGCCAGCATGAATTGGGGAAACTACTGCTTTTTTCTGGGCCGGATGAAAGGCATTGGGCTAGTGACTGCTGTGGTGCTCACAGGGCCAGATAAAACCTGCTGGAGACAGCAAGAACCTAGGGAAACTACAGTGTTCTTACTGCCTCGTATCTCATCCTGTAAGAGTGCTTTATTCTGGTTGCTAGCCCTCCGTAGTCACTTTACTATTCCCAGAAACACTCACTGCCTTCACGTGTTGTCCTTGACACAGATGAAATCCCTAACTACCAAGGCTCTGGCTCCCTGTGGCCTTTTGTCATCCCAGATCCTTGCTGCACCACTGTTTCATCTCTTGCTCTTTCTTGTCGCCATGCACTGTAACTGGGCAGGATACTGGGGACTCGCTGCAGGGTCCCCAGTAACTGGCACCACGGAAAAAGTCTCTGATATGAGAAGCTTAAGAGTAGGGAAGAATCACCTTATTTAGATTTACATATGCTTTATTATAAGATAGCCAAATAAAGACACTGATAAGAGAAATAAGTTGACAAAATATGGAATTGAGAGTTTGATGGTATCAGTAAAGTTCTGGAAATAAATGAAATTGCATAGGAAAACTGCAAATGGTTTGCAATGTAATTTCAAAAAATGAAAGTGTCACCTAGGCTATGCCAGGCTTCTGTCTAGTACTGTGAAGGCCAGGCTATGTGATGATAATTCCCAGATTTCAGTAGTTTACACTAAAACTGCATCATGATATTCCATTTGGGGTCTATATTCTGAGTGACCCTCATTTAAAGATCCAAACTGATGGAAGAGCCACCTTTTTGAGCTCTATTTTTCACTATGGCAGGGGGAAAGAGTATTATTAAATTTTACAACTCCTAAAGTCCTTTGTGCAGATATCAATTATTATCTTGTCCTCCTTTCACAGACCAAAGAAAATACACTGCCTCCTTTAATATCAAAGATGAAAAATGAGATATTATCATGTACCTGGGAGGAAATTAGAAATATTTATTAGATAGTCCTACTCATATACATAAGGGCTTATTTTTCAAAAAAAATGTCTCCTCTTTAAATATTTCACACTAGTTTCCAAAACTAGAAATATGCTGTATATAAGTAACTCAAAATTCAACAGGGGGAAACACTTATTTTTTAATTTTTTAAAATTTTTTATTTTAAAGAGAATAAAAAAGATAAAACAATAAAAACAATATAGGATCTCAAAACAAGCTGCTAGGAAATTAATAATTGTTACATTGCACATTGTTATTTTGAAGTAGTTGCACAGATTACCAGGAAACATGTAGTAAAAAGTTTTTCTCCTTTTCATCTCCTCTTAGTCATCTACTTATGTATAAGCATTGGTGTTGATTTCCTGTAAATTGATTTTCTGTGTATTAATGAGCATGCCTATTAACACTTTCTTGTTTTTTTCCCCAAGGATAGCATCCTTTATGTTTTATTCTACATTTCAGTCCTTCTGTTTTACTATATTTGGAGACTATCACAGTAACAGAGAGCTGCCTCATTCTATTAAGTTACTAAATAGTAAAAAGTTAGATGAATCTATAATTTAATGTTTCATTATCAGTATGTATCTTAGACTCCTATACATATTCCTTTAGTACATATATTTTTCTTTTTTAAAAAAACACTATAATTAGAAAGACAAAAAGATGGCAGTTGATAGGTAGCTGGGTAGAGAGCCTCTCCAGGAAAAACAGCTCAGACCCTGGACTTTGACAACATGGAGAGGGCTGGAGGAGGGGAGAGGGACTCTCGTGACCCAGGAAGAAACTGAGGAAAAAGAAAAAGGGGAAGAGGAAGGAAAAACACGTGTGAAGGGATAGAGCCAGACATGCTCACTGAGACCAGTCCCGTGCTCTGCTGGGTGCGCCGTGGAGTCAGACATTCAAGGTCATGCTGAAGCCACACTCACCAATAATGGGAGTTGGTGAGTCCTGGGCTCTTGGCGTGAGGACGAGGTGCAGCGTGGAGTGGAGCCAAGGTAGAGATCTGCATTAATTCACGGTGAGTGCTAGAAATTGGGTCCTGTGGCAAGCATGGCTGGCTGGAAGACATATTGGAGTAGGGCAGAGTACGGTGCCACAGTGGCGTCAGAAAGCTACCCCTGGCCCAAAGCGGATTGGTGGGATCTACTTGGGCTGAGTCACGCCCCTGGTTGGGATCCAATAGCCAGGGACGAAACTGTCCTGAACCTGTGATGTCAGCAAAGCACAGACTAACGTGCTGAAGGCACTTGCCGGTTGGATGGCTCAGAGGAGAGGCGCCAGCCCACAGACCCTGAGTACACCTCAGATAACAGCAAATTGGAGAGGGCAGCAAAACCCCAGCCAGCACACTTCAGAAAAACCATAAGCAATATGGAGAGGGCCTGAGATCTCCACACACACCTGTCTGAAAGAAACCAGAAACATGACAAGAGAAAAGAACAAGGAAAAACCTCCAGCTGCTGACCCTCGGGAAGTAAATCCAGGAGAGGTAAATACAGAAGAGACCCAGTGCAGCAACAACATCAGCAGACATAAAGAAATACCTTCGTGACCTCATAGATGAACTTAAAACTGAAATTCTAATCCAAGTGAGACAAGATAATTAATAAAAGAAATGCTAAGCCTTTCTCAAGAAGGATGGAAGAATAGAGAAACCCAGAAAAGGAACCATACCCTTTCTTTTGGGTATGGTTTTGCTTGCTACCTGGAAATTTTCTTAGCAGAAGTTCCACATTCTTTGGCATTTCCAGCATCCTGAGGTCTGCCTGCACTTTTTGCTTTACTCTCAGTGCTTCACATACTGCCCTCCCAGGGCACACTGCCTGGCTTCCCAGGCCTTCCTTCCTTTGAAAACTATTTGGAAGTCTCCATGTCCCCATAATTCTTGCATTCTGTGTGACTATAAAACCAGCACCATGGTGAATGATGCCAAAGTTTACCACCAATTTGATCAGCAGCTGGCCCCCTTTGGATAATGGTAGCAGAGGTCTCTGAGTGCTTGGATGGCTAAGTACTGTGAAGCCAATCCTAGGGAAGCAACGAATCCTTTATGTGGCCCTTTTCAAACAGGGATTCTCAAGTGAAAGATTTACAGTTCTGCATCCTCAAGTCTGTGAAGGGTGGTATCTTGCTGATTCTGAAGATGCCCTCAAGGCATTTTTCTTACTGTTCTGATGCAAAGGACTTGGCTTCTTTTTAATGCTAAATCTTTTTAGCAACCATGTCCTTCTTTGCCATAACTTTTGAGATTCTTTCTTTCTGGCAAAACTGAAAATTCATTTCAGCCAGATCTACAATGAGAATCAGGGACAAGCCACAGAGCTGAATGATTCGATGACGTATTCTGGGAAATTCTGCAATGACTACTAGCCAAGGAAAGAACAGATTATTTTGACATATATTTTTGAGAAAAAAGTTATAAACATTCAACTTATGAACTTACAGTTAAGAGCATGAACATTTATTCAATAAGTAGAACAAACAATAAATGAGTTACACATCTTCATGAAGTTCAGTCTGACTAAATGTTTAATGAT